CCTTTACATAGGTCTCTCATTGAGCCCTCACAACTGCCCAGAGAGCCAGCTCTTTGCAGATGTGGCTGGCCTAGTCGCAATTCAACCCCAGGCTGCGGGCCTAGTGGCCTTTCCCTGCCATGGCGCAATCTTGGAAGCGGCAAATGCGGGGAGGGCGCGGAGCGTTGCAGTTCCCGCCGCGCCCGCCCGCGGGGAAGGCAGCCGTGGGGACCAAGGGCCCCGAGCCGCGGGGGGAGCAACAGCTGTCGATGTCGCGCCTGGGGACCGCGCCTCCACCGGGCCCACCCGGCGCCGGGGCCGAGAGGAGGGGCGGCGAGGGGCGGGGCGCGCGGGGCGGGACGGAGGAGGGGCGGTGGCACCGGCGGCTCGGGCTCAACGCGCCGAGGAAGTCCCGCTCCGAGAGCTGCGAGCGTCTGGAGGAGGCGCGCTCGGCGCAGTTGGGGAGCGAAGTCCGGAGTGAGGGGCCCCCGCGCCGCCGCCCCCTCCTTCTGCCGTCCAGCCAGGGAACCCGCGGCGCCGGCGGCCGATGGAGGTCACTTGAGCTGTGAACCGGCGGGAGAGGCAGGCGCCCGCGAGCCGAGCGCGGGCCGGAGCCGAGCCAGCCCCGGGCGCTCGTCAGCCCGCCCGCGAGCTCTGGCCAGGAGGCGCCGCCGCCTCGCGCAGCCCGCCCGGCCACCCGGGCGCTCGGCCGCTGCAGCGCCTCCCGCGCCGCGCGCCGGCGAGATCGGCTCAAAATAAGGACTCCCGGAGCGTCTCCCCCTAGCGCGGCGGCGGCGGCGGGCCCAGGACCAGTCAGCCCGCGGCGCTGCGGGAGAGGCGGGACCGGCTGTCGGGGAGCCCAGGGCGGCCGCCGGGGAGAAGCCGCCGCCGCCGCGCGCCCTCCTCCTCCTCCTCCTCCCTCTCCCTCCTCCCTCCCTCCGCACATGGTCTCCTTTGTCCTGTCGCCGCCGCCGCCGCCTCGCTCTTAGCTCCGCGCGCCGCGGCGGCGGCTCGGGCCGCTCCTGTCCGCGTCGCCCGCCTGCCGGCCGGCCCGGACGCGCCTCCAGTCCCCGCCGCGCCGCCGGCCCGCCGCCGCAGGAGCGGCCGGAGGCAGCGGGCGAGCGCGGGCCGGGTGCCCTGGGCGCTCGGGCTCCCTCCCGCCGCCCGCCCGGCCTCGGCGGCGCTGGATGAGTGCGCGCGGCGCTGGCTCTCGGCCGCCCGAGGCTGCCGCTCGGTTCGGATTTGGTTGGCGTGCCTCCGCTCTGACTTTCGCCGGGAAGGAGCCCACAGACTTGCGGACGGAGCCCGCTCGGAGTTGGGCGTTTTCTCTTCGTGCGTTTTGGTGGTTCCCCCTGCTCTCTGATGGTCACCCTTCGGGAGCCCTGCTGAGAAACCAAACCATGAACTTGGGGCTGACAGGACCGCTTAACCCTTTACGACCAGGTAATGCAGCCCTGGGGGCGCGGCTCGCTCGCCGGCGGCCGGCGGTCGGAAGGGAGGCGGCCGGGTCGGGGGTCTTTTGTTGCGGCAGCCGGGCTGGCGGGCAGGGGTGGCAGGGGCGGGCTCCTCGCGTCTGGCGCGCCGGAGCCCCCCTTCGTCACCCCTCCTCCTTCCCTCCCCCCTTCGCGGCCGGGTCGCCCGCCTTTGTACTTTCCTTCCTCGGTCGGGAGCGGCGGCGCGGGGGCTGGAGCTGCACGGTCGTGCCCGGGAGGGCCCGGGGGCCGCAGCCGAGGCCAGCTGCGGGGAGCGGGCGGGGGCCGCCCGACGCGGGGCCTGCGCCCGCGCCCGCTCGGGTTGGAGCCTTGGCGCGGCGCTGCTTGTTCCCAGGGTCGCGCTTCCCTCGCGGAGGTCGGGATCCCAGTCCGCACGCGGTGCCAAGGGAAGCGAAAGGAGGTCTGGGCTCGCCGTCGGCAGCTGCTGAAAGAACTTGCGCTTAAGTTTCGAAGAGGTTTCTTTTCTCTGGTTCGAAAGTCCCTCTTCCCGCCGGCGCGGGTGCGGAGCGTGGCCCCGGGGGCTGCGTCTGAAGGGAATTAAGGTGGACCCCGAGCGGGAGCCGCTGCGTCCCACCCCGTCTACACGGAAGGCTTTTATTCGTTTTCCTGGTTCCCCGCGTTCGCTCCTCCTGTCGGTTTGACTTATTCAACTTTTCTTTAAACGCCAACTACGGCTTCTACTGATTTTTTAGTATTGAAAATAACTTCTTCCCTCCCACCGCAACCAAAAAGCAGCCAAAAGAAAGAAAGCTTTGTTTTTCGGTCTGTTTGAGATCCAGCCACTTCGTGCCCTTACCCTCCAAAAGCGAGCGAGGGGGGAATAAAACGAAATGGCGAGTAAAATCTTAAAGTCTGTAAAGGTCGCCCCGTGTTAAACAAGAAAAGGAAGATCCCCACTCGCCTAACTGTCGGCTCACAGCGTTTCCATTATTCGTTCGTGATTTAAAAAAAAAAAAAAAAAAAAAAAACTGCCAGGAAGATGGCCCAGGAAGTAGAAGAAAATGCAGACTTTTTCCTAAAAGCAGTGATAATGAAAACGCCCCCAAGATTAAGACCCAAGGAGTCAAATAATTTGTACAAATGTTTTCTTTAGAAGCGTGACTAGAAGGAAAGTTCATTGAGAAAAAGCAAAGCATATTCGTGTAGTTCCACTACGAAGCTCTTTTCTGACTTTTTAGGACAGTGGGCCACAGTTTTAACCAACTGGATGGGAGAAAGAAAGGATCCAGAATCCTTTTATGCTTAGCCAAAGTCCCATTGGGTGTTTTTCTACGGAGGCCTTTTTGAACCCCCCTCCCTGTTGCAAGAGGCGTCTTTTCAAGCTTTGTGACAGGTATCAGTAAATTAAACGGCTCAAAACGCTTTTATTTGAAAGTCTATTCCTAAGCATCTCTGAATATCCTGTCAGCTTATTTCCTTAATAACTGACTGGTCGGCATCATAATAATCATATCCTTAAGTTTGGTTCAGACATGAGGATCACTTGAGTGTTGTTTGAAAATACCATGCATAGCCCGTGGAGCTGACAAAGGTGGCAGGCCAAAGAAAGGTCTGAAAGACAGAACCAAGGGCCCTATACACCTACGGCTTCTGTCCTGTGTGTTCTCTTTCTCCCTCTCTTTTTGTCTGTCTCTCTCTCACACACACACACCAGGTGCAAATAAAAACTTAATCAGGAACCATTTCCTTTCCTTATCCATGCTTTTTGCATTTGGGGGCTGTAATTTGTTTTTATATATCTTTAGATCAATTAAACTCATTTATAGGTAATCCAAAAATTTTCAAGGGTTGTTTCAATTTGGTAAAATGCTTAATAGACACTCTTTTTTCTTTATATCAGCTCAAGTTTATTCTTTAAGCTACAAACTTAACAGCCGTTCCAAGAGAATTTCAAGCCATTCTCAGACTCTTTTTCATTGAAGAATTGTGAAATACTCATCTCTCTTAAGGTTTTAGCTGGGAAACTCACATTCCTAGAAATTTCACTTAATATTTCAATGTAACAGCCCATTCAAATAATTTTTGGCTTTGTAACTCGATATTCTTGATCTGCTTAATGTATAACTTGTTTCACCCCATTCAATACTTTTTTGGCAGTTTATTTTTATGAATAGTGACCATTATATATAGTTTCATTTAATTTTGTTTAAGAAGTCAGGAAGGCCCCTCAGTGTATTTTTTTTTATTCCTGCAAAAGAGGAGGAAAAATCTATCAAGGGTTTATTTTAAACCTTATGTATAAATGTACGCAGTTCAATGCTTGTTTTGTACATGCATTCATTGTTTTTCTTGATTTGTTAATCTTCTGAACCACCCCTACAGAAGGAAGATTAGAATTAAAATAAAGGGGAAAATAGTCACAGTAAAATATTTTATGTTTTTTCTGTATCACTTGCATTGAGAACCAAAACATGTCTCCCAGATATATATGGAAATATTTCATCTTCGTCAATATAACATGGAAAGACTAAATTGAATCTCTTCTTTGTCCCCAAAAGCCAACCCCAGCGTCAGAATATGCTGTACTTCAAAATTCCCCTTTCTCCATTCCCTGTATTTCCTTTTTACATATTCAACATAATATGCTTTGCTTTGTCAGAATATGCATGTCTATGTATAAGTGTTAAAGATAAGTGATTTCTCACAGGGTTACGAAGCAAAAACAGCATAAATGTGGCTTGGCCGTTATAACTTTACATGCAGATATATCTTCAAATTATATAGTAGGGATGCTTAATTTTAATTTTTCAAGTTCTGGAAATATTCAGTGCTTCTGAAACATTACAACCTTTTCCTTCAAACTGACTTTGTGTTTATTTTCCAAAACATTAGTATATATTTTAAATTGGCTTTAGTCTTGCTGTTTAAACAGGCTTATTTCACTTTCCTCAAGCTACTGTGTAATAATTAGCAGACATGATCTCTAGAAAATGGGAAAGAAAGCACGCTGGTAGTGTGCATGGTGGTTTTTGGGCAGGTCTGCTTGCGTCTATTTGAACACCAAGGTCGTCCTAATTACTGTAAGGGACAGGAATTTTGGGGTCATCAGACAAATGTTGAAAGAAATTAATTTCTGGGAGTGCTGGTTGGCACTTTTTAGTGAGGAAAACCTTAGCATTAAATAATAGGCATTTCTGATTTGTGAAAGAAAATTGAAAAATAGGCATGTCTGCAAATACCATGGAAAAATTACCATTTCCAAAATAATCTGTCAACGAAATTGCAAAATCATTATGTGAATGAGCTGAATTGCTTTGTGTATCATCTCATAGAAATATGTTTTGCACAGATAATGTGTCTAATAAGGACACATTTTTAAAATCAGGTTTTTTTCCCCCAGCAAATAGCTGCACTGCAGGTCTCTCTCATGCAGTCAACTAGCACCACCTTATGGATGATTTGGGGAAATTGCTGCTTTCCCTGTTAAGTTTTTTTAAATGTAGTAAATTGATTTAAAATAATAGTAATGATGATAGTGATGGAAATATTAATGACAATAATAATGCTTTTTTTCCCCTTCTTTTTCAGGCATCAGATGCCAGCTCTGAAAAACTCTTCAACACTGTTATTGTAAACAAAGGTAAGACTCCTTATTCTCCTGAGAAATGGCTTATTCTTACATGAATTTCAATGTCATTGCCTAGGAAGAAAGAAGAAAAACCATATGGTCTCTCTCTTTTCATTCTGAGCTACTGTTTATATTTTGTTTTTTCTTCAGACAGAATCTGCATGCTTTTGTGTGATGCATTAAAAAACAGTTTATTTTAAAAGAATACATTGAATCCTTGTTTAAATTGATTTAACTAATCATCACTATCTATGTGACTTTAATTTAATATAGGATACTATTCTAAAGAAGAATAGTTCTCAACATGCCTTAACTTACCAACTACCCAGCAGTAGGAAAAATATAAACAGCCGATGTATACTGCAAACTGTAACAACCAGTGAATGTTTAGTATTCATAGTATTATGGTCATAAACTAAGCCTTACTCTGCTGTGAGCTTTTTGTAAAGTTAATAAATGAGCAAGAGGGCAGAATTTAAATATGCACTATCCCATTAATTTCTTGCAAACCACAATCTAGAGTAAGAGACGCTAATGATATAGCAGTACATTAAGGGAAAACTTATCTTAAATCATTGCCGATGGGTTTCTGGGCAGTTTTCATTTGTAGCAGTATTGTTGGAAGTAATGAAATTTAGGAAACTCTCTAATCCCTGCCTTTGAAAGGTGTAGAATTTGAATGATATAAACTATATATAAGCTACTTAGCCTTCCCCTTTCCACTGTCTAACCTGATTTAGGGGCTGGCATGATAATTGGTAAACAGAGATGTGTTTTTTGTGACAATCTCTTTCTGTGTTACATTGACAATACTTAGTAGCACTTGAACAGACTTGGGCCTCCATAAAGTGAAATTTGAGACCATTTCAGCATTCTGTAGTTGCCGTGGCTAGCATTTTTGCTAGCTGGTTAGTAAGACATTTCCAAGTGCAGTTATTTTGAGCTCCCAGATTATTTTGGAATTTGAACCAACTGCAATTTTAAATAGTACATTATGTTTAGAGTTCCCCTGAGGTGTATGTGCTTATGTGATTGCTGTTACTCTCAGAATTACTGTCATATTGAATTTTATCTTTTTTTATTGCATAATGGAGTATTCCAGTTTTATATTTCATCATATTTTTTGATGGACTGAAAGTTTGTATAAATTTGTTATCCATGAGGCTAAAAGCCCAATAAAAGAAGATATGTGCAATTCATAGCATGCAGTGCTCATGTGTAAAAATGGATAATTGTTTACCGCTCAATGAATTTGTGAAAAAGGAGGGTGTTGGGAAGGAGAGACTGAAATAAGGCAGGTCACCAAAAGTAGGGCTTCCATGTTTCTGTGACACCCCCCAGGACCTCCCACCACATGTGACTTTCTTCTGCTAATTTGCTATAAAAAGCTTTGGAACATATTTCCCCTTTCTGGGATCAGCCCTGCAATGAGAGTTGACTCTGGGACCTGCTTCCTGACCGCCACTGCCCTCAGAGTCTCTCCTCATGGCGGATGAGAGTGATGGGTGAGCACCAGCTCCCCTCTGCCTCTTCCTCCTGCTTCTTCCTCCCTGTTCCCTGTCCCAATCACACATTTCCCACATTCTTATTTTTGTTTACTTACAGAGTGTGATTTGTGGCATCTATTTGGTTGTGAATAGTCATCCCCCTGACAGGGTGCCTTTCTTCTGAGCTGCTTTTCTGGGGGTGATTTAGTTGCCTTGAAAGGATTAAGGTTTCTTTGTATACACTAAAATCAACATAGGCTTTTTCTAAGCTTTGCTTGGGAAACCATACACAAATAAGCATTTTAGTTGATGGCAGATTATTCCTTTGCCCCTTATTTCCATCAAAATGGCCTTTCTTTTCTCCTCCAGAGTTTCCCCTTAATGCCTTATGCTAATTCCTGTTGGTAACATGAATGACAAGAGACTGAATCAGTGCAAATCCAGGTGCTGCAAAGTAGACTGGTATCCAGCACCCCCTTCCTCCCTGGAGAGAAGGAGATTAAGGGGGGTGGGGAGGGGGGAAGCACGGGACAGTTTTGTTAAGGGGATTAGTATTCAAACTGCTAAATATCAGGAAAACAACTTCAAAAAGGGATTCATTGTGTAGCGATAATGTCAATAATTGCTTCAAGACAGGTGCAGAGAGTCTTGTTATATGCTTGTGGTTTTTGGTCTGTTTTTACTCCGGGTAGTGGCAGTGTTTACTGGATGGATGGTTGACAAGGCCTTCAAGGAACTGTCAGCTTCATGCACATCAAGTTCAAGTCCTCCTGCAAAGCGGCCTGTCTGCCTGAAAGTCAGGTCTCCTGTCTTTGTCCAATATCTTTAGCCATGAGCAATAAAAAGCATTGTAAGAAAGGGCAAATTTACACCAGGTAACAAACACTGCTGGGAAAATCTTCAAAGCCTCAGCTTATTGAACAGTCTAACAAGAGTGCAGGGGAGCTGACACGTGTATCCCTCCACCTCCAGATGTTTAAAGCTACATACCACCTCTCGCTCTCAGGAGTCTGGCGGTATCCTGGCCTTAGAGGAGCGTGGCTTTAAGCTGCTGGTGAGATTATGCTGCTGAGCCTGCCGGTGGGCAGATTTGGTCCATAAAATTTCACCGTGGGAGGGCAGTGCTAATCTCACAAGCTGATTGTGGTGGGGGGCTGGGGGGGGCAGCTTTGATGTTGGCTGCCCAGTGTGGAGATGCAGCTCCAGGCAGGAGCAGCAGGGGCTGTGGCTCCAAGCCCATCAGGCTGCTTGTGAGCTTGAGTAAGTCATTTAGCCTCTTCAGGTCAGAATTTTCAACTGTAACAAAACCTAGTCCTGGGCCAGCATTTCTGGTAGGGATAAAACAATTAATTGGCAAGAGGCAGGCGTTGAAACAAAGTGAATACAATGAGTATGTTTTATATCACTTTTACCCAGTGATTTTATTTCGACTTTTCCTATGTTACAGAGTCCATCCAGTTTAATGGAGCGCTAGTAAGGTTTTTGTGTTTAGGTTTTCCGAATGGTCGCTTTCTTCTGATGCCCTTTATTTCCTGTTTTAAAGCAAGTTAAATAGCACGTGCTTGCACGTACACACAACATGCCCAGTGAGAACTGAGCATTTCAAAAGAGGTGTGGAATTGAGCCTCCAAATTGCAGGGCTTAGCGATGTAGACATAAAATAGTTTAACTTTAATCAAGGTCATGGTTGCCTTATTTAATCTTTATGTGTTTAAATGTTTACAGGATGTTCATGTGAATTTTATGAATCCTTCTGTCTTTGTGACTCAACCATCTGCCAAAGGAAAAATTAATTTTCCCAGAGAGACAGAGACACAGAGAAAGACTGACTTATTGTACCCGTTTGGTTGCTTGAATTGCTATAGGAGCAACAGGATCTGTACCCCAAATTCTGGGGTGTTTGTCCTTAAAGGGAGCTTTCCAATCAATTCAATATGGCCAGTATTTATTACCCTTTCTTACCTACTCTAGGTCCTTCTTGGTGTGCTCGCCACTTTGATACATAGACAAAAGTGCAGAAAGTGAGTGCTGCTTTGCTGCACATAATTATCCTGCCAAGATAATTAATCTTTTCTAAAACTCTTAGATGGCTCCAGAGCAAAGCTACTAGAGGAGGAAAGAAGAGAGGGAAAGTCCTGTCAGGGAGGAAGGTGAACAATAGTCAGGTGACAGATGTTTTATAGAGCCTTCTTTACATGACCCCAGTCCTGCTGGTCAGGGGTCTAGGTGAGGTGAAGAGAAAAAGCCCTGAATTGCTGCACCTTCTTGCCCCTCTTTCCCAGGATTCATCCTACAACCAAGGCAAGATATAGATAGAAAGTGGGAAGGGCCAAGAGGTGTGTTTTACCCAGTGACTCCTTCTCTTCCCTTCACCTTTGTCTTAAATTGCAGAGCTGGGCCTGGGGTGGGGAAAGGCCCCCTGAGTGAGCCATCATGGAGAACTGTCCCCAGCTGAATGAGCATCTCTGAAGGGCTGGGGGGTGGGGATGGGGATAATCCAGGTAGGAATGAGGCCCCTCATTTCTGGTATTTTTTTTTTTTTTTTAGAGTCAAAGACATGAAGTCTTTGTTCTGCTGTTTTTTTTTTTCTTTTGAGACAGAGTCTCACTTTGTTGCCCAGGCTAGAGTGAGTGCCTTGGTGTCAGCTTAGCTCACAGCAACCTCAAACTCCTGGGCTCAAGCGATCCTGCTGCCTCAGCCTCCTGAGTAGCTGGGACTACAGGCATGCGCCACCATGCCCGGCTAATTTTTTCTATATATATTACTTGGCTAATTGATTTCTTTCTATTTATAGTAGAGACAGGGTCTCGCTCTTGCTCAGGCTGGTTTCAAACTCCTGACCTTGAGTAATCCACCCACCCTGGCCTCCCAGAGTGCTAGGATTACAGGCGTGAGCAAGGCCCCTCATTTCTGTCCCTCATGCTGTGAGCACCCAGCGTCTACTGAAATGTGAACGGCAGCAGAGCAACTGCTCACCCACATAGGCAGGACCCTGCTTCAGCTCCGTCCGAACAGCCCTGGGAGTTCTAGTGCATACTCAGTCACCATGAGTGCCGGATGGGCCCCTTGAGCTCTCTGGACCTGGACCATTTGCCTCTTCCAGGCCCCACCAAGCCAACTAGTGGAACACAACAGGCCTCTTTTGGAGGTTGGTTGGTGGGTCACAGATGAGGTTAGAGGGGCCTTTGTGTATCTTTGGAAGTATGGTTTTATCAGCATCATAAAAAGAAGATCTGGCTAAAAAATTGCCTGAGATTTGAGGAGATCAGGTGAGAAACAAGTTATCCAGAGATAGTGCTAGTTTAGTAACCAGGCTTCTAATAAATTCTTTAATGGTGACAATATCATCTTAATTCTTTAGGTTTAGACATGAGTGAATTCCTTGGTTTGGTGACCAAAAAGATAAGAACCATATTATCACCAAGTCCACTGTAGGCTTTTAAGAAAAGCCCCTTCCCTAAAATATTTCTGCGCATGAAAATAATGCTGTTGACTGTGGGATAGCTTTCTTAAGAAAAAAAATCT